ATGTGTACAATATTTAGTTAACTGTTGTTGTCATTGTTATGAGTGAATTTCCAATTGAATGCTGCATTTTAATAACATAAACTTACAATATTAGTGACAATTTTAGGAAAAAATGGTGGCCATTTTGAAACTACTGGCAACCCCCCTTACGTATGAAAAAAAAAATGTTGCACATACTTTTTTGATTTATCAATGTCTATTCTACATCATATCCAATTTTTTTTAAATATAGCAAAAAAAAATGCAACCTCTGATATTGCTACATTTCTGACTGGACTACTGGGCCCCATCAGAGATCTGCTTGAGACCCCCCCCCCCCAGCCAATGGGCCCAGGTACCAAAGCTGCCGTCCTCGGTGGGCCTGACTGTATGTAAAGTTACAAACTATATAATATTATAAGATATGGTCTCTGATTGTCCCAGTTTCTGTATTTTATTGTGTCAAAATAGTTCACTCACAGTTAACATGTATGACCCAAAAACATCAAGCAGGTCAGGGGTGGCTCCAGGATTTTCCCGACAGCCAATGTCCCCAGCGAGATCAAAGTGGGCATGTTGGGGGCGTAACTCAAAATCTCTTGAAAGTGGTCCAGGGGGGCAAAGCCCTGAAAAATATGACAATTTAGGGATTTCAAAAGCTTAAACGATTTTAGAGTCTACAAATATGTAAAAAAATACATATCATTTTTTTTTCTCCCCGACATATTAGCTTTTCTCCCCCACTGGCTCCACCCCTGATATCAAGAAAGTATCAAAAAGTGTAGCCCCAGACTTCTTGGTTTTAATAATTATTTCTATCTACAGTGTACACAAATCAAATTACTGTATAATGTTTTTGATTTTCTTTTATTGTAAATCAAATCAAGAACAATAATAATAATATTAAGGTGCAATTTTTGCTAAATTCTATTTTTATATTGTGATATTAATTTAAGGTTGGGTGTACAAATTGGAGGACCATGACATGAAATCTCTTCATCCTTCTTGCTTGTTTTGGTGGAGTCTAGGGCCAGTCCCTCTGATGCCTGGTGCAACTGGGCAATTTGTTGGCAATTGAAGCCATCTTAGAACTTATTTATATGACCAAACATAAAGTTTACTTAATTCATTTTTTTCTTGTTTTGTTCTGACAAGCTGGGCCAATACGGGGCTTCTATCCTGTCTGGCTTAAGTTTCATCCCCCTTTCTTTCCCCCCCCCTCCCTCACTGACTCACGACTGCCTAGTAGTAGTAGTAATCATTGCATCAAACCTACAATGTATCCACTTATTTTCTTGTAGAGAATGAATTCATGGAGGAAGGTGCCACCTGGGTTCACGGCATTGAGGATAATCCAGTACACAGTTTGATCAAACATAATCAAGTATTTAATAAATACCACTACCTTATCAAATACAAATTCTGTAAACTAAATGGAGATGAAGTGCCTACTGAGCATATTAAAAAATATAAAAGGTAATATTTATTAAGCAAGCCAGTTGGAAAACAAATACCAATGATTATGAACATTATTATTATTATTATTATTATTGTTATTGTTATTGTTATTGTTATTGTTATTATTATTATTGTTATTGTTATTATTATTATTATCGTTATTGTTGTTGCTGTTATTATTATTATATTATTATTATTATTCTATGCTTTGGTAATTCTCCCTTTGTTAACTACCATCTCATGTGAGGAAATAAGATTATGAATATGATGATTAATACAGATCAAATAATATAAAAAATAAGATGTTATGTATAGCATTAAATACATAAACTTTATTTCTTAATTGTTTCATAATTTATAACAAAAGTATCTTTTCAGAGATCCCATTTTTAGTTCAAATGCTTTAGATGAGGGTGTATCATATAAATCTCGGTTATTTGCAGTGCATCAATAACTACTGCTGTTCAAATATGCATGTGTGAATGATCATTGGCTTTACTTGGATTTGATTTCCCATTGAAGACCCATACCAGTGGCCCAGTTGGTTAAGGCATCCGCATAGTCAGCAGAAGCTCCCATTATTTAAATCCAGATTGATTGAACATACTTTGATAGCTACACTTCATCATCTACTTAGAAGTATAAGATTGAGAAGTCGCCTTCCTTTAATCCCTCTCTTTCACTGTTGAAATTGATGTTTGAATTCCTGCATGACGGTTTAGAGTTTATCTTTTCATTCAACTATTAATTTGATATGTTTGTATTGTCTTTCTATCCTGATTTGTAATTTTTTATATGCCAAAATGAATAAAACTAAGAAAAAGTAAAATCTACTATCAATATATGTCCTTTTCACTAAAGAAAAAAAAGAATTAATAATGCATAATATTAATATAATAATTACTATTTAATAAGAGTTAATTGAATGATTATTTTATAGAATATATCGTAAGATAAAAGCTGATGCTGAAAATATATATCAGGACGGAAGTACTCTGCAAAATGGAGAGAAGTCAGTTGGAGAATTTCTTCAGAAAGAGTTTCAACGTAAACTAAAAGATTTGAAGTTGACTAGAGAATGTGAAAATACAGCGAGCAGTGTTTTTTATAGCAATTCACTAATTGAATGTTGCATCTGCGGTTGCAATAGTTTATACGATTTAGTTCTGAATGATTTTGGTGAATATGAAGAGCTTGGTGGCGGTGATTTGCGAGTCCGAGGCGGCTACTCGCAGGTAATTAAGGAGTTGCTCAAGAAACTTCCCGAGAACTGTGTAGTGTACAACTCAACTGTGACAGAGGTACACTGGAAAAATGACCACATACCAGATGGTTAGTATGGACAAATTAACATTTTGTAGTGGTTCAGTTCATTAAATGCCGTATATACTCACGTATAAGACAAGGCTTAAAATAGCAAATTTATGATCAAAAATAAGGGGTTGTCTTATATGCGCGACATACGCATTTTAGATTTTTAAAATCATGTTCGTCTTACATGCGGATTGTTTATCACACGCGAATTTATTGCTGCAGTGAAGCTACTAAATGTTTGTATGAATGAACGCAATTTTAAATACGGGAAAAAAAATTTTGACGAACATTTATGAATTCATAAAATAGTGTTATTTTGAAGATTAGCCCTGCGTTTGGTTCAGTTCTTAGCCAGCTAGATGCAGTATTAAGACCATAAAAAGCAGTAAAGTAGGAATACCGACCATGAAACAGGGGGCAGGTCATCTTATAAACCCGACATCAAAATATCATCCAATTGCGCTTTTATACGCGAGTATATAAGGTACATATTTTGGGATGAAGTAGGTAATGTGTATTATAAATCTTATAGGTACAACACAAATGTGAGTGTGTGTCAAACTGACAGACATTTGTAGTAAAGACAAGCCAAACCACTCACTGCTCTCAAATCCTGTTTTGGAGATAATGGCCAAAACACGCTGGAATGTCAACATTTTTGAAATCTATTTTATTGCACTAAACTAGCCTTTATATATCTATACACCATGCTATGCTGTTATTTTCCCCATTTTCAATGTTAAAACTACTATTTTTAACGATTTGGTGATGGTTTCTGCCTAAGAAATGCCTGAATCAAAACTTTGAAGGTTGACTTCGCAAACATTGTTTTTTTAAACAACTGTATGTTTAAACTAACTTTATAACGAAATTTAGGATTTAAATGATTCTTTTACCATTTTAGAGCTCTCATTTTACTGTTTGACCCTGAATTAGTAACTAAAAATCAATTTTTGCGACGGGTGACTGGTTTGGCTTGTCTTTGCCACATTTGATTTTACAGTATTAGTATAGATTTTTCTTTGTAAGTTTTCAGTCTGAAATACTTAACTAAATTTAAAAATAAGAATGAAAGTATAAACAATGAAAGTAGGTATTATTTTTAAATCCAGTTACAAAGAAGAATCTGTACTAATAAAATACAATGTCTGTCAGTCTTACACCTCAAAATACACTGATATTTGTGTTGTACATATAACAATGAAATCAATTACAACATCAAACAGTATAGATAACAGAAAGTGTTTAAATATATTCTCCCTCAGTGTAACAGAATAAATGTCATATTTACTGATCTTGCATATAAATATTACATATACTGTATCTACATATTTAATTAATACTCTATCTATATTTTAAGCATAAATAATTATATTTTATATTGCAAAAAAAAAATGATTATATGTACAAAGACAAATACACAAATGTATTCAATTAGAGATGTAATAGTGCACTCCTCAGGTGTGTTGACATGTAATATATTAAAAAAAATATATACATGTAGATTTCCATACCAGATGACACCTCGCCTCTGGTCAATCAATCAATCAAAATTAACATTTATTTCCTTCAAAACGTAAATTACAATATTCATTGAAATGTAACAAATAAATAACATAAGTATTGAACCTGAACTCGCATGCCTGGACGTGGAGGAGGCCGATGGCCTCAGTAACGGCTAGTATGTACTAAATTGATGCGATAAATACTAAATTTTGTTCATAGAATCTTCCAAGCCTGTGAGAATCGTATGTGAAAATGGCGAACAGTTTTTTGCTGATCATGTAATTGCAACCCAGTCTCTCGGCCACTTAAAAGAGTATGGAAGGGCGCTGTTTAAGCCACCTTTACCTCAAGTGAAGTTGGATATTATTGATCGCATGGGATACAACTATATAACAAAGGTTCACCTAAGGTACCAAACTCCATTTTGGCAAGATAAATTTTCTAGAGTTATTCCGTTGTGGGACATATCACCTAAAGATGTGGTAACCAAGCCCTCTGAATTCACAAAGGTATATTATTTATTTAATTATTTTTATTATTTATTAATTTGTGATGAAATCTTCAAATATCTCATTAATTATTAATTAATAAATAAAAATTTTGTTTTTGTATAGCGCCCGGCTACACTTGCATCGCAGGGCGATGACAAACACCTATGTTTTTGCTGATAGTGACTGCTTCAAAAGAGGTGTTTTTAGCTGGCATATAAAAAGCAGCTAGGGAGCATTGGATTAGAGCCCTGTCCAGACTATCAAATTTTATTTGACAAAAGCATGTGACATGCCTAAATATGGTCGTGATGACATCACATCATGACCATATATAGGTACATCATGACCATATATAGGCGCATCATGACCGTATATGCGCATATAACACCTTTTTGTTGATGAAAACTTGATAGTGTGAACTGAGCCTTAAGTTTTAACGTGAACAATTTGTGTAGTGTGCCCATGTATGGGAATGCTGATGCCATATTATACCCAAATATGGACATAATATGTATTTGTCACATGAAATTTGATAGTATAAACAGACCTTTAGACAATTCTGCTCTGTATACTTTTTCATATTTGTAATTAATGTACAAAAAAATTATCTTTATATTTTTTTTTATCAGGAAACATGGTTCAGACATATATATGACTTCGCTGTCCATCCTTTCTTGTCAAACACGCTAGAAGTATGGTTATCTGGAGAATCAGCTTTGCATGTAGAAAGATTGGAAAATGAAATTATAAGCGACGCTTGTACAGGTACAGAAAATGGATGACTTAAGCAAATTATTGTTGAAATGGATAAATGCATGTTGTAACTAATAAGAACGTTGAAGTTGTTTTTTTCTGTTAATTACAGATCTACTGAGAAAATTCTTGAAAGATCCTTCAGTTCCAAAACCTGACGAGATCTTGAAAACCTCATGGAATACCAATCCGTATTTCTTGGGGGCGTACTCCTACGTGGCTGTCGGTAGCAGCGGTGAGGACTGCGACGGACTAGCAGAGCCGCTATGTGTTGAGAACAGCAACAGTGTGGACGTTCCAAGGGTTAGTGTATATGTATTAGTTTTTAGAAAATTTAAACAGGATTAGGCAAGACTTTTTTTTATACCTTGTATAGCGAACCCGCACGCCAATAATGATAACTTAAATAAAAATAAAATTTAACTTTCGGCCAATAGCATACCTGCCGCCAAAAAAAATGAAAATTTTGGAAAAAAAATAAAAGGTTTTTTTAAATTTTATTATGCCTGCTGCTGCCTTGAAATCTCCAAAGTAAAATATGTTCATTTCTTCCTAATTATGTAAATTTAAAGCATTTAACCATCCCATCTGTTTATTATTTTCTCCTCTGTCTTGATGTTTTTGACAAAACTGTTTGCTAAATAAGAGAACAAAATGTTAATTATATTTTTTTCCGCCCTCCTCTGACGATCTTTAAAAAAATAAGTTTGCAAAATAATTTATAAAAAAAATTTCACCTTAAGTATTTGAAATATATAAAAATATATTATATGTGCTGAGATAATGGAATTGAACAAAAATTAAATAGGTATTTAACATGCTTTTGCTTATTTTGTATAAAAATTTATTTGTTTGTTTTCAAGGAGTTATTTGCTTTTTAATTGAAAATTAATTAGTAATTTTTCATTAAGCCATGTCCAGATTATCAAAAACTGTTGTTTGCCCATATATAGTCATGATATGCCTATATATGGTCATGGCGTGATGTCATCATGACCATATTTAGGCATATCACACATATTTGTCACATGAAATTTATCTGATAACTTATTGTTTTCATTTTAAAAATGAGCAATTCAATATTCAATTCAATATATCAATATAAATACATCTTTTAAGGCTTTTTTTTAGATTTTAACACAAATGTCTTTAATGTTCTGATGAGTAAAAGTAGGAACCATATTGTATATTACCCAAATATGGTAATGAATGTATATTAAGCAGGTAGCAGATTGTTTAGCTTAACGTGTTTATGTGAAAAACAATCTCAGGTTGAAGTAGTGACAATTATGTTCCTTAATTAGTTTATTATCGTCGACTAAAGCCCTGACAAAAAAACTGATGTATCCGGGGCCGGGTGCAGGATTTGGCGGTAGGGGGTGTGTGAAAATCAACACTCATAAATCTTACTGGTCTATGTTCATATCAAAAAATATAAAATACAAGAATTAATTTTCTTAATACAATTTAGGGGTAGGTGCGATTGCACCATCTGCACCCTCTGCATTCGTCCCAGTGTATGCCCATATATTGTCATGATGTGCCTATATATGGTCATGATGTGATGTCATCATGACTATATTTAGAAATTTCACAAAGATAGTTTAAATATTACTCATTCAAGTATTCTTTTCAATTAAATTAATTTTGCAGGTTTTATTTGCGGGTGAAGCCACCCATAGGACATTTTACTCTACAACCCATGGTGCGTTGCTGTCAGGAGAGCGAGAAGCTGGACGCTTGATCAGCTTTTACCAGTGCAAATTTAAGTAAATTTATCTGGTAGGCCAGGCTGAACCCCTTATCAGGCTTTACCAATGTAGCCGAGATGGTTTTTGTCCTACATTCTGATAAGCCTGGGTATAGGCTTGAAAGGGGACCATTCATAGTACAGTAAATTTCATAACATAATAATTGAACTTTGATAAGCAATTGTATAAGTAATAATTATGAGTTACCATGTGCTACCTACCTAGGTTATCCTGGTTTTATATTCACTGGTTTGCTGTATTTTAAGTTTTAATACTGTTTTTTTTTTTTTTTATTGGTAATTCTTTAACTTTGTGCAATCATTTTCAGTATTGTTGTTCTGAAGCACCAAATATATTTCCATTTGACAATATATAATAAACCACATTTATTTTTATTTAGAATATAATGATTAAGGATAGGCCTACAAAAACAAGCGAGAGAATATATTATTTATACCTGTAGGCAGGGCTGGAAAAAGTGCGCGAACGGCGGTCGGAGACATTGACCATTAACCCGGAGGCATTTTAGAAAAAAACTAATTTGTTGTTGTTGTTACACATTGCAATTTAATGCATACCGATAATTAAATTGGATATTTATGCTTGCTCCAAACCACTAAATGTACTACTGTTTAGCTATAATAGTGTAAAGATAACATTTAGCGCTGGTGGCATTTGATCAAGATAATTTTCATGGTCGGATGCTCAAAAATATTTTTTCCAGCCTGACCTATAGAACCTAAATTGGCAGAAAACATTCTTAAAGGTTTTATTCTTATTGGTAATTCTTCACTTAATGACTTTGTGCAATCGTTTTCAATATTGTTGTTCTGGAGCATCAAATATATTTCATTTCATTGGACAATATATAATAAACCACATTTGTGAGGTCTCACCACGAAATGAGACTTATCGTTGGTGAAATCATATTGAGATATTCACCAAAATAGGTCAAAGGCAACATTTTTACAAAATTTTGATTTTAATGTTTTTGAATAACTTGATACTTATATTTTATGATTGTGTACATTTTAAGTGATGTGTATAAGAGACAGAGTTGAATGTGTTGCAAATATCAGCAGGGTGCCCAATGGTAATAAAAACCAGAGCGAATTAAAAACAAATATATAGAATATTAGCACAGCTGTGCAAAGATCGTAAGCGGCGGATACCCTACGCTGCACTTTTTACACAATCTTTTGTTACTTTTTCGCCAGTGACGTCATGGTAAAATCGTATATAATCGCCTATAACTTCATAAAAAACAGCCAACAAACGATTTTAAGGTTGATTCTATTATTATTATTGGCATATCAAAAATCCTCTATAGAACAAAACATCATTTTGCTAGTTCTCTTTTAAGCAAAAACAAAAATCCATTCAGTAAAAGTATTGTTTATTTATTTGGGTACTGCTTACTACAGCACAAAGTCAATCCATACACTGTGTTTAAAATAAACCCTGGTAGAAATCTACCCTGATGCCTAGACAAAATGGAAATCTTTTGACCAGTTTCTAAGCTATATTGAAATACTTTGAAGAGTAGTTTTATGCCCAAAGTATACATTTTTTTTTTTGGTCCCAGTTCATTGTCAACAAGGGCTTGGCCTGCCCGACTGGTTGTAGTACTAGTGGCCAGCATGTGAATTGAACCCCATAACTTTCAGTTGAGTGCCCAAAGTGCAATCATGGCAACAACTGCTGTTATTCAAAAATATAAATTCCATCAAATATATTGCTTTAAACAAAAGAAACCAATTTCTACATAATTTACTTAACTAAAATATTGCTTTCTTATTCTACAATCTAAAATTAATAATTTGAAGTATACCATACTGTAACAACTCCCTGCTATAATGTAGAAAACTATAATTGATGATATGTCCAAATAAAAAGGATATTATACTGTATAAATTATACATTAAAATACAAATGAATTAACTTTCATCTTGATAGAAACAAGAAATAAAAAAAAAATAAATAAAATACAGTTCATGAAACAAAATACATTAATATAAAAATACACTCATTCACAAAAATCAATAATAAATCATGTGATTAATTGTTGGTACTACAAAAAAATAGTTTGAGTATTAAAATCTTCAAATAAATCGTTACTATATATTTGTCAATGGCATAAACAAAAACAGTGGCAAAGACAAGCCACACCAGTCACTGATCACAAATCGTGTTTCAGAGATAATGGCTAAAATATGCTCTGAAATGTCAAAATTTGTTAAATTTATCTTATTGTACTAAACTAACTATATATCTATACATCATGACATGTTGTTATTTTCCCCATTTTCGATGTTAAAACAACAATTGTCAACAATTTGGTGAAGGTTTCTGCCTAAGGCTGATTTCTCAAATATTGTTTTTCAAATAGCTGTATGTTTTAACACTTGTAACTTCATAAGGAATTGTCAGTTTTAAGTGATTGTTTTTACCATTGTATAGCTTTCATTTCATTTTTTAACCCTGTAATAATATCTAACAATCAATTTTTGCGACGAGTGACTGGTTTGGCTTGTGTTTGCCACATATGGCAAAATACTCATTCCGCATGTGTTGCAAGAATCTACATATTAGATTGCATGTTCAGTTGCACGGTATATTAATAATTGTGTCAATTAATGGCAACAGTGCATTGAGAAGCTGCTCACAGACAACTATAGTTTGATTATGTATTCTGTTTTTGGTCAAATAAAGAAATGAAACATATATGTTTTTTTTTGCCACTGTATCGGTATCATTTTGTATCGTATAAGCCCAGTCCAGAATATCATACTTTATTTGACAAAAACATGTGACATGTCTAAATATGGTCATGATGACATCACATCATGACCATATTTATAATTTTCATAATTTTATTTCTCTCAGGAGTCAGGTAAGCAAAAAGGGAATATGTCAGCGTACAAGATGCCTACCAGAGAATATATATAGGCACATCATGACTATATATGGAAACATCATGACTATATATGGGCACATCATGACTATATGTGGACATACAACATTTTGTTTGTCAAATAAAATTTGATAGTGTGGACAGACCTTAATTAGACAAAAACAAGTTGGTGTCAATCAACCCAAAATCTAAAAAATTAGGGTCAGCATTTGTTTTTGTTTACCATTATTTTTTCCTAAACCTAAAATACTTGTATGGTTCAAGCTTTACTTTAAAAATTTGGTGCATGGGGACAAAACAATAGTTACCAAAAGTCACTGTTTTGGGCAACACATTTGAACAAATAAAAATTTGTTAATTATAAAAATGTGCAGAATAAGTACTGGTAGGTGTTGTTGACAAACTAGTTACTAGATTTTAGTAGACTCTAACTGATTGATTTGGTAATTGCCACATTAACATATTTCACAGATATCATCATAAAACAGTTATTATAAAACACGTTATACTATTAAGTACATACTGTAATTTAAATATTGTTATTAGTCTATTATTCAAGGTCAATAGCACACGAAACTGCTGGTTGTACACTAATTCTCAGCAGATAAATAGTCTTCTCTTTACACTTATTTAGCAGCTAAAACAAATAGCGTCATACTGTATCAATCTATGAATATGTATTTTGAAAAACAAAAAACTACTATTACAGACTATTAATTTTATATATTCCAGTTGTAGGCACTTGAGATTTTGTGATCGGCTCTCGAAAAATCAGCCGTTCGTTGCAATTTTTAATTTCTCATAAGCACCCAAAATGTTTGAAAATCAGAATTTTGAACATTTTCCTGTTTTTGCATTTTATAAAAGAAGATATACTGAAAAACAATTCTGCAAAGTATCAGTCACCAAATCTAACTGAAAAGTACATTAAAAAACTATTTTTAACATACAAATCTTAATAATAAAATATTAATTTTTGAATCTTTTCAAGCTGTTTTCTCAAAACATACATGGCTGATATCCAATGAATTAAATATTCATAACTTCACTAACACTGTCTTCAAGAAGAATTCATGTAGAATTTACTACAAACAGCTAGTTTTGCCAGAGCCGGTCAAACTTATAAAAATGGTTCAATTAGAGGCTAGTCTCAACATTTTTAATAATATTTAGGGTGGAGGGTGGAGGGGAGATAATTCAAATGAAATAAAAATTAGAATTAACATATATTTTGTTCACCAATTCACAAACGCAAGAAAAAACAACAATTCCTTATTCTTTTTATGGACACACAAATCGGTGGCAATCAATTTGAGGATTTTCATATTAAAAACTATGTATTAGAGAAAACTATTTGTTTCATCTGTCTCTTATTAAAAATTTATTTGATCACTTTAAATGTGTAATTTAAAGGTTTTTTTAAATGTTAGTATCACAACAGGGTCAAAATCACAGTAGCAGTGGTCCTAGAAAGACAACAGGAAAACATGTAGTCACAGAAGCATTGCAAACAGGAAACCAACTTGTTCCTTACTTGAATATTGTCTTAATCATGGAATGATGTTGCAATTATTTACACCAATGTCCCTTAATCGTTTTGATTACCTTTACTCACAAACTGGGTCATTAGTTGACCTATAGGACGCGATACCGGTAACCACTTGTACGTAAGATCTTGATCGTCAGAAACGGACCACTCATAGTTGTTTAATAAGTACGTACAGACTTCCTGTGCAAGAAAAATTCAAGGATTAGAGGACAATATTTAATGTAATTTATTAAAGATCTTTGATTTTAATTGCTATTATAACCACTAGATCCATGCCATTTGATTTGTGCATTTAATATTATGTGTCATTGGGTATTTACGCAATTTAATTGTAAATAATCCATTTATAATCCAAGTATTAAATAAATTCTTTGGATTCGATAACAGATAGGTATATGGTTATTTTATATGATCCAAATATCAAATAAATGTAAGATTCAAACGTCAAATCAATTCCATAAGTGTTCACCACTTTTACATTTACTTGATATATGGATCATATAAACGAACTATATACTAATCCATATTTATATTTGCGTCACTCTTCATGAAAATTTAGTTCCATTTGCGAACATGTTTCTTCCATTTTACACTGACAGGCACAACTTCCGGAAGAAAAAATCGTGACTGTGGAAAGGTGACTTTATTTAACTTCATGACAGCCTCTGCTGGCTGAAAAGCCTGTAGATGTATACATTATTTAACATAAAATATCAAATGACATGGATGTACTTCAGGTGTAAACCAACACTTGGCACCACTTTGTTTAATGGAACAGTCCATCTTTGAACTCATGAAAATATCCTTCACACTGCACTCATAAACATTCATTATTTGTATTTATAACACACCCTAAATAGATCCTTATCATTTGATTGGTGGATTTTGTATCATATGACATTGGCTTTTTACACCAATTCATCACTCATCATGAAAATTTAGTTCCATCCATGCATTTTTCCCCATTCGTTTTGACCAACTGCATGCCTCCACGTAATATACTGTTGTCATTGGTTGAAATAAAATGGACTGTTCTATTCACAAGTTTATTACCAAATTGTTGTAAATTGTTTGTGTTAAAACTTATACTGATTGGAAGAAAGGTACTGTAGGCTTATAATTATTTTTCGTAAATCAACAAATGACAAGGATTTTTTTTTTAGATACAATATAAAACGAATAATAAATATTTTGTATTCGTGCAATGGGAAGAATATTTTCATTAGTTGAAAGATTGACTGTTCCATTCAACTCATGAAAATATTTTTCCCACTGCACTCATAAACATTCATTATTTGTATTTATGATGATAGCATGAAATCCATGTCTCAAGTGTTAGAAATATTTTACCTTGAGTATGTTTTTGATAAGATGGATGCCAATACACTTTCGCTTTCCTCCACCAAAACAGCACAATAGCTTCTCCAACTCATCCCCACTATCAAAAAACAAATTGAATAATAAATGTACAAGTATGAATTTGAAAAATTTTGTCAGTAATATGTAAGGAAAAATCGGGATAGTAATCAGAGCATATCAAATTTCTTGAGTTCAAAGTACACTGTACAAAAAATTTTAATCTACAATTATGATTGGTAAAATAATAAAATCATTTTATTATTTTATTTAATTAATTTTTATTTTATTTTTATAGCACTTTTCTTTTTTTCTAAAATAAAGTGCTTCTGTCATTAGGACCACATGCTTGAATGTTGCTGCTGTAATCAGCACAGGAGCAGGCAACCTCACAATGTAGGTACCCATTTATCCTAATGGGTTGACAGAACAAATGTACAGAGAGCACCTTACTCAAGGACATAAGCAAAATGCACAGCGAGAGATTTGGGAAACCAAGTTGTTCCCGTTGCACCAAACCCCTTCTGAAAATAACATGATGATATTTAAAATGCTGATTACAAATACACTAATATTCTTACTTTTCATCCCATCTTTCTGGTTTGAACTCCTCTGGGTCTGTAAACACTTTTGGGTCCCTGTGTGCCGAGTTGGTCATATACACAACAGCTGTACCCTTATGAACCTTGACACCATCTAAGACACAGCTCTAGATGTGGTTGGGGTAGGAGAAGAAAGAAATCACTAAAATGTTAATTAGAATATATTTATAACAGAAATTTAAACAAGAACTAATAAATACAAAATTAGTTGATCACCACTAATGCTATTTGCCTGCTAATTTTGGCATGTTTCACATCATTTTTCCATCACGAATGGTCATGGCAAAGTAGACAGATCCAATTAATAATACAAGCAATGCATGTGTTTTCAGAAAAAAGTCATTGAGTCTAAAAACAGGGGGAAACAGTGGTATGAGTCTCAGAATCTAACAAATTGAACAAAAAGGGGATCTTCCTTGCCTTCTGAATTTACCATTGGTTTTTTTAACACAATGATAGTATTCTACTTACCTTTCTTGTCAAACGTCTTCCTCCAAAAAATGGTGGCCATAACCTTTGTACCTCAAGCAGTACGTGATCTAAATATTTGCAGTCTATAGAAGCTTGGTGGCGCTGTTTGGCCTGCAAAAAAATTATAGAATAGTGTGTGTGTTTTAAATTATCTAATAAATGCCTCTCTTGAATAAGGGCTACACCAAACATGATTTATTTCTGTAAGCGCCACGCTGTTTATTAGATATATCCAACTTAGAATCAACCTCACGGTGCTTAATCAACTGTGATATACCCAACATATACAAACACAACTATTGGCGCTAGCGATCCCGTAGCGATTGTCACAGAGTTCGACGCTGCCTCTGAAGAAACTGAGGAAAACTAAATGGCACTTTGTATCAAATGTATTCACTTTAAAGGTGTATGCTAATATATATCAACCCTTTGTGACTTCACGCATAATTTTCAAAAAATGCCCAACCTCAAGCAAATCCAGAAGAAATCTCAAGCAAGCCTTTGTGAGACCCTTGGCAGGTCTGAAATCAGTGCAGATGGTACCAAAATAAAATTAAATGTGTTAAAAAAGCTCATTAGCCAGACCAGTGGCAGATTCAAGGGGGAACCGGCCCAGGCCCACTAAATTTTTCAAAATTATAAAAAAAATTGAGAAAAAAGAAAATTATATTCATATTTAAGTCTGAGAGTGCAATTTTTGGCTATCTAGAGGTGCCATCATAATCATAAACTGTCTTGCCTCAGCCCAACCATGGTGGGGCTGAAGTGGCCTAGACCCTCCATATGTGAAAGTCAACTTCCTTTTGGACGCTTATTTCAAATTCCTGGACCCGCCACTGCAGATCTTATGACTCAGGACCATGAGATAAAAGGTAAATGATTTAAATATTTAACTTCCACTTAGGCCTCAGCTGGAATAACAAATGATTCTCACCTTATCATGACCGGATAAAGCCAAAGTAAAAGACGTTAAGATGGAAGCAAATGCTTTTGGAACTAAGGCTGAGATGAACAACAACAAATGATTCTCTACTTCTGATTGGTTCTGAAATCCTGCTTCAGATATATGATGAAGAAAATCTCCCTTGTTTGCTTTTTCTAAACGATCCCTGATTATTTCCAATAGTTCACCCTACAAAGAAATGTATTTTAAAAATACTAATAAAAATAATACAACAAAAAATATATCAGTTCTGCCCTACAGCTAGTTAAAAAAATTGATCTAATAGTGAAATCCTATGTAACTATAGGCCTATTTCAAATCCTGATGAACAAAATATTGTAGCTTTCCCCAAACACATTATTAAACATAATACTGGACAACTGCAGGGGTTCCAAGTCAACCACAAGTAGCGGGAGTCTCCTAAAAATCGGGATGGGTTTAAAGGTTAAAAGATAAAATGTATAATAACCTTAGCTTCCAAAGCTCTGTTATACCCTGATGACGAACCCCAGTATGGCAATTTCAAACTCAATGGCACAGAGATGATTCCTGAATTTGAGAAAAATTAAACACTTTATGTTAATCATGTATACATTAATAATGCAAATGTATATCTTGGCAATCTGTTTGTGGGTCTGTAGCATTCCTGTAGCCAGGATTCCTTAAGTGGAAGGGGATCATTGACACCTAGACGTTGAGGGGGCATTTAAAGGTAAACTCGTGGGTTCCAGGGAAAGACCCATTGTGGGGGTTAGTGGTAATCCCAATGGAGCAGAAGCATTCTAGGGGTATGTCGAACCGTAGAAAACTCCCAGGTATGGACTTGGGTTTTGCATGCAGTAATGAACTAGCAAGGCATTTAGAGCTTCTTATTTTAAAAATTAAACTTACACCATGAATACAAAGTAGATAATTAATTATCAATTGTTAGAGCTTGCTCGAGCCTCACTGACTCTGGAATGCCATTAAAATCAATCACTTCGACAAGTGGGTAATTCAACAACAGGCTAATTAACATGTAAAATATTCCCATCTGAGAAAACAGAATTCTAAATTCATAATATTTACAGTATATACACAGCTTTTGTCTACATCCATTAGTTGTGTTAATTCTGTGCAGTGTAGAAAATGTTGCAAACATAATAAATATAAATTGATATCTTCCAGTACACTATGTGTTAAAATATTACAATATATAACTACAGTACTTATGATGTATAATTAATTTATTTGCCAATTAACTCTTCAAGAATTAAGATATTCAATAAAACTAAAAAGATGTTCGCTAATGCATTTAAGGAGAGTGGTCATTAATAATTCATTGAGAATTAATTTTTTACGAAAATTGAATATTTATCAATATCTATCTATTTTTGATAAATCAAGCTTTAATTTATGTAAAAATTCATATTATCTTATAATAGTCTAGGGTATAGAAACAATTCAATTTTCGCTGACTCAGATTTTGTACTACAGTACTGTATATTATGAAATCTGGACCAACACAATTGGAAAGGGGAAACCCCAAATCTTCTCTCTCTCACACAGAGCTCACGCCATCCCTATCCCTGCAAAAGAATTCTGGATCCGTCATTGGAAATCCTTACTTAATTGGAAAATTTCTGCTTCTCCTTCAAATAAATAAAGAGATCATCGGATTTGAGATTTGCATTTAAACTGGCTACAAGACCATAATGAGTTGTTTACAACAAGTGACTCACTTATATAAGTAGATATACTTAGCATGGTAATCTAGCAACACCATTTATCTTTCCAAGGCTGACTAAATGAAATACAAATGATTTAAACACTTAGCCTGTAACATAGCATACAGTATTTAAATATATTTTACCAGTACTGGTATATAATCAAATATCTTTTTGCAGTAATTATTTATGCTTTTGTATAGCTAATAACATTCCATATACTCAGGAAGCCCTTCTTGACATAAGTTTTGTACCCCACTCTGCTCCATCCCAACTCACCTTCTCCCACCAACACCCATACTGACATTGTATATGCTCTGATTCTGACCATGGTTAATGGTTAAAGATAATATTTAGTACATATGTAGACAAAAAACATATTCGAAGTTGGAAAATGTGAAACACAATACAATACTATATAAACATATTGGAATGTGAACTTCAGGTAAGGGATTCTCAGGCACCATCTGTGTTTGCAGGAGTACTGCTCAACTGAGTTAGTGCTTATTAGTGAGGTTCAGTGCTTACCATGCCAATGTGTTGTGATTAGCTGACTAAGTTGATCATACACCTCCGCTGAGTGACTAGGAACTACATCCAAAAATATACTAAAGGATAGTTCTGTTGCAAAATGTTTAAATTGTTCATAAGCCGAGACCTCCGTGCTGTGAATTTAAAGTTAAGACATTACCTTTAAGTTTTATTGACATGCTTTAAGTAAACCATTTAAATTCATAGAAAAGCATAGCAATATACCTTTGATAAAAAAATAAATAAAAATCTCATCTCTCTTTTATATAATTTCACAATTAAAAAGGTAATTAATTAATCAATACAAATTAAATAATAATATGAAAAGATAAGTTTTATTACACTATTCAATAACTAATAAAGAGTTCAAATGGTGATTAATTGAGGCTATATGAACAATCATAAAGATACACCTTACAAAATTCTGAAATTCTCAAAAATACATATCAATGGCTAATTAGATAAACAGTTTCATAAAGGAGCTGACATTTAATATAAAATACTAGAATGTTAGGGGAAAAAAAAATGTCTTCAAATTAAAGGTTTCTACAATCCAATGCTAAGAAATTACAAATGACGTTATTGATAATAATGAATCGATATATTATATACAGCATGCATGAAAAAATGGAAAAGAGTTTGTCATTTGGTGCTGAAGATCATGAAGTGTTCGGATGAATTTTAAGATGGGATTTGGAAAATGAGACTGTATCCTTCGTTGTCAAGGCTACAGTAGATCATATCAGCTTAAGTGTATAGTGTAGATAATTAGGTACAAATTAAATATTACCCTGCATCTAAGTTACTGAAATGCTTGCTGATGAGGTTCTTTAGTTTTGTGTTGAACAGGTGCATGCTAGCAGGCTCAAACAGAGAATGAAGAACTTGGCCTAATCTGGCCGCTTCCTCTCCCTCAGCAAACACAGCATTGTCGCCATAGAGACCATGCATAAACACTTTGTAGCCCATTTCAAAATTATGACTACAGTCTGTAAGTAATAAGAGAATATTGATTAGTCCGTCAGGAATCATAATTTTAATTCAAACTCAATATGATTGAATGCAATATGATGATTCATAATTTAATGTAAATCAATAACATACCTCTGTAAATTACAAACTCATAATTAGTTTAAAATGGTTGCATAATTGTATGATGAATAGAACACATGTGAGTTTTTTATCTGCCAATATCAAATTATATTTAGTTCTGACATATGCAATTTTCACAGCTGCTACATTGAACTGAATATAGAGATCCATATTCACAATACAAATAATCACAAATTTCTTTTCACATTGAATAGATGAAGTCCATTAAAATATTTATCAATAGTAGATCACTAAATTTACTTTAAAGAATTAAAAAGTAACTGTATATTAAAAGAGGATATGTGGGCATTATATTAGGACTGGTTATTCAGGTCAAATGGACTTTAGGAGAGTTCAAAGTTCCATAATTAGCTAGTGTGTGCAGGTCAATTACTATAGGACCCAGGCCCTATTGAGTAACATTCACGCCATGCATAGTGTACAGTTGATAGGGTACTGTTTGTGGGCCACATAACTTTAGTGGAGTATAAACATCCATACTGCTCCAAAATAGATGCATAGTTTCGTTTATTATTTTATTTAAGCTTTCTTTAACTAGGGGGTATCCATTCAGGGACTAGCACTGCTTTTCAAGGAAGCTCTGGTTTAGGTTGGCTAGAGTTTTCATGTCGCATAAATTTTAGAAGAGTAACATCCTCATCCAAGGATTTCAATAGGTTTTTAACAGCCATTATTGTTATCATCAATTATTCTGAAAGAATGTTATTGTAATAATTTTCCATTGTATTATTATTTCCTGATAGCAGCCATGATATTTGCAAAGTAATTTGACCAGATAATGACAATCAATAACACTGCAGCAATCACAATATTGAATTTAAATTATTTACAATGAAAACAGACATTTTTTAGTGAATTATTGTAATTATACTACAATACTGAATAATAATAATAATAATAATATCTTTGTTATGATCATTAGTTTAATACAAAATTATACGCATAATGCAACAACTAAAATGGCCTCAGTTACAAATATATGATATTAATATTAAAATAGTAGGCATATTAAACAGTATTTACTATCAATATTTTTTAAAGGGCCATATAAAAAACATATATCTTTTCTAGATATTTTGCTTGAGCCAAGTATGATGTTTGGATGTGGTAGACTTTTTAGACATTTTTTCCTGTAAAAAAGTGAAATAGCCTGAAAAATAATAAAAATGAGAGACAATTAAAAAATAAATAAAAAATCATGCATACAATTGTAAGCACAGGTAGCAGAAATAAGCGATAGGGCAAAGGCCTTAAACCTTTTACATTTAGCCCTACAGAACTTCGAAAATAATTTAGCAGAGTACTAGCCTAGTATTCATACCTCCAACTAAATCCTGCACCCCTTGAATTGTTCCTATAAAGACTGTTGGTTTGTTGAGAATTCTTGATTGAAAAATGCGTGTGTCATATTCTTCCATCCGTTTGTTGACGAACATAACTGGATCACGGTAAAATTCTACAGATTTATCACCGACGATCATATATCCCACATATCCCTTGGGTTCGGCCATAATGAAAATTGTTGTGATTTGAAGATTGAAATTTAGCCCCTCTCAGGAAAATTTGGCTTTTTCTCTAGCAGCAATAAGTGTCACATTAAACTCATGTTGAAGCAGATGTTTTTCGCACCAAATTAAATATTGATTATTAGCATCAGCCTATTTAAACGAACACTGTGTACAGCAAAATCCTGAATTTGCTTCCTGCCAAATTGTTACTATGCAGTTTTCCACATTGATATATCTTCGTAGAAATCGTACAATCTTATATATTATGGGTTTGACGAGGCATGAGTGAGTGGATCTCAACTGTATCTAGTTGATTCTTCTTCTCAGATGAAAAATATTAAGCAGCATTATGTCTAAACCCAACGATGCAGAGCTGAGAAAAAAAAAATGAAATATTTTTATTCATTTTTTGTTGTTAGATATATTAAAATTATTAAATTATATTTATATACAATGATGTAATATAATTATCAGCTTCTTGTCTAAAGTCTAAAAACACAATACATTATATCCCTCATAGTCATACACAATAAAATTGGTCTGTATAAAAAACACCTCAAGTACCTTACTCAGTCAGTCGTAACCTATAGTAACAGGTAAATTATATGAATGCCATCCATTTCTGCTGCAAACCAGTTTGGCTGCGATGTATTTAACATCCAGGAAATCAGGCAATAATAAATGTGTTTTGTTTTTCTTATTAAAATATAAACTGACTTTACAAATAATATAGACTTATGATACCAGTTACAAGTTACCATTGAGAATGTTAAGTTTAGAATTCTGCTTGTTTATAATAGTATGTTTTATGCCTTGCCTGGGCTTCTTCTGGCGAAAAACATGTTTTTTGTATTTCCCACAGTCTTTTATTATTTATTAATTACATGTCTATACAAATATTTATTATCATATTTATCAGTATTATGATATTTATTAGTCATTCAATTATACAAATTAATTGAAAACATACTATAATGTGTTTCATCGCGGCCGATACGACCCTACACCAATATTCCGGTGATCTAGGCTACCGGTAATCCTCGTATTGTTTTCGTGTTTTAGGCCTAGGCGGCCCTCGTCAAAGGAATCAAAGTAGGCCTAGTACTAGTAGTGAGTAGGCCTAGGCCAGGCCCTTTATTCTGTAAAATTTCAAAAAAATAACCTGGATAATTAATTCAGATCTATGATCCGATAACACTTACCACTTGAAAACGTCTCTGTCATCTCACTGCAAACAGTTGATTAATTCACATGTTACGAAAAATGAGGATATTGTTATTTCCGTTCTTGCACGGTACTTAGTTCTTACTGCTGATGAGTTGAGTTGTTCGTGACGTAATACGTAAACAACACGGAATTGCATCTGATTGGCTAGTCAGCCTGCTCTTTCATGGTTGATTAGTTCCGAATTCCGCGCGAAATATACACACACGTTTTGATATTATTGAGAAGTCACGAATGAGAAATACTATTTATTTCTTTAAAAGTTTATCAAGTATTTGTTCGTCAAACATGATAGGGCAGAAGAAGATATCAGCTTTCTTTTCTCCTTCCATTCGTGGATCTAAAAGACCATTATCAAGCTTAGAAAATGAAAACAATCAGGTTTGTTATGATTCATGTCAATGACCCACTTGTTTGCTGAGCAGCTGGAAAGGGAAAATGGCCTTCCCTTACCCAGGGCCAGTCTTTATATTCCTAGTAGTATTACTACTTAAAATAGTGTATTAGGGCTAGGCCAGTAGAGGCCTAGCTAGGACAATACAGTAATTGCAAAATGTATATAAGCCAAACTATATATGCTGTATATATATGCAATGTAACTGTATGTGTATATAACAAATAGGTAAATGCTTTTTGAAAGTAGTGTTCCCAGAATTTAGAAAAAATGATTTGGTTCTTCCTCGATGGGGTTTGGTTTGGGGTTCCCCAACAATGGGAGTCGCTACTTCCCACTTTTGGTCCCCTGCTGGAACATTACTGGAGGTTGGTTCCCTGCTGCAACTATCACTGGAGGAAATATATATGCCTATGTTTTTACTAATCAATGTTGTTTACATCCATAGAACAGCCCTCCAAAGGTTCCATCATCAGAGACATCAACCTTGACAGCAGAACAAATAAGTGCCATAGAGAAGAAAAAGAAGGAAGCCATCGCCAAACGTCAAAAGAGAATGTCAGGTGACTCGGAGTTCATGGGAGAAACCTGGGAGAAGGCGCTCGCATCAGAATTCACCAAGCCATACTTCCTCAATGTAAATAGCGTACTCTATGTTAATGTGGTTGAATATAAATAAGTTCCTGTGGAAATTAAGTATTAGATAGTCACCCTAGCCCACTCATAATTAAGTGATATGGGGATGAAGGAATTTTTTTATTCAAGGCAATTTGATGATCATCCATTCAACAAAGGAAATTGACTTTTCTGTGGTATTATATGTCTAGACAAGTAGTAGGGGCAGATCCAGAAATGTTTTAAGGGGGTGGGGCCGACCAAGAGACAAAATAAGCCCTACCCTAGGGGGTCCGGGGAAATTTTGTTTTGTAGATGCCTGGAAAAAAAACCTGAGGCATTTTGTGCAAATAATAATTTCTTTCTATCTTTCTTCTTTTCTTTTTTTTTTCCTTTCCTAAAGGGGCAGGGGTGGCCTGGTTTCCCTCCTAAATCCACACCTGCAAGTAATTTAGAATAAAAATATAAATTGAATAAATAATTTACTGAGTCTATTCTAAAAGTGCTTTCTAGTCAAATATATATTTTTTTTGTATTTCAGTTGAAAAAGTTTGTTGAACAAGAAAGAAAAAGCCAAAAAATCTTCCCACCAGCAGATCAAGTGTATTCCTGGACTCAAATGTGCGATATAAGAGAAGTAAGATAAACGCATTATTATAATGATTAGCTATTACATATTAATATCATTTGCATGCTAGAGCTATAATTGCCACTTTTTTAAAGAATAATACTGATACTGTAAATTTGTCATTATTATGAATATTTTTATTATTATTAATATTGAAATAATTCATTGGCTTCTTAATGTAATTGGATGATAATTCGTTTACGTTAAACCAAATAATAATTAGAAATAAACTTACTCAGGAAGTTTCAAGACTAAGCTAGTCTCCTTTTCAACTGATGTTGGTGTTGGGTTGATCGGACTAACTATGACGTCACAGTTTGTGACGTATATCCTCTATCTGTCAATTTTGATGATTGACGATCTACAGGGCTGCGGGTCGGGATGCCAAGGATGTCATTGTATATGTTGGGGAGATCAACTACCCCTTGGTCACGGTTCATTGTCCTAGGTCTTTTTCTTATTTGTATCACTTCTTTGATTCTTCTTTTAATTACGTTGGGTTCCCATTGGACGATTTTGACCATTGACAGCATGGTCAGTTATTGCTGATTTGTGGACTATTTTAGAATGAGAAAATCTGCCAGGTCGAGTCTTCACTCCTGAATTATATTTGTCAACGTCCGTTTTATGTTCTTTTATCCTCGTTTTTAAAGGTCGACCTGTTTCACCAATATAATGAGCTGGAGCAATCGGTACATTTCAATTCAATCAATGCATTTATAAAACCATACATTGTTTTGACAGCCCATTTGCTATTCCACTCTGGTGATTATTATAATTATATTATTTACAATGCAGGTAAAAGTTGTGATCCTTGGGCAGGACCCATACCACAATGATGGCCAAGCCCATGGTAAGGTTATAAATTATGACTTATAATAATATCAAAAATAGAGAAATTAATTTATGGTTTATAGAAGATTTGTTCGTACACAACCTCAAATTTTTGCTTATTTTTCTCAAAATAATTACTAAATATTTAAATTTCGATTTAAATATGTATGATTCAGCCTATAGCCTTAATCATAATTCAGACTTGAGGGTGACAGATCCAAGGGTGGCGAAAGAGGCATTTTCTCCCCCCCCCCCAAATGAATCGCTATAAAAGTGTGAATTTGTTTAGATGATGCCCTTGGAACCCACAATAGGGAAGGGAACACCCTCCCATCATCCTCATTTGGACTGTACGGTGGGTCTTTCATTCGTAGCTAATATTCAAATAAAACAATTACTTAAATTTCTTTTTTTTTTGGGCTGTAATGACCCCTTATTATATTGTAAGAGTGGGGTTTTGTTTGTTTTTTTTTGTTATTGTAGCGTTCCTGTTGACAGTCAATTTATATATTTAATTTAAATAATATTATTACTATATTAATTCTTCTTTTCAGGTTTATGTTTTAGTGTTCCTCATGGAATTGCTCCTCCACCAAGGTAACCTTAATAATAGTATGATATAATATGGTGTCTGTTTTTTGTACATGGATCATACACAGACATGTGCTAATCCCATACGGATAGGCATTCACATAAGTGCAATTTAGCTGGGGACTCATCCTAAATGGTCCCCTAGGAGGGGAGGTGTGTGCCATTTATTCTTGACATAGCAAAGTGGACAATACATCATTTAAACCCGTAATTTCAAGGTTGAAAGCATGATCCACAGTTAGCCGCACCATTTTGCTATCATTTTTGTTTAACAATAGTTTTGTATTTTCTATTATAAACAGTATTTACCGAAAATATAAGGTAATTACAAATATGTTTGAATTTTTCTATTGCTGACAAATCTATCTTTATTTTATAGTGTTTTCTTACTGGTTGGTTTAATGTGGGCCGTTCTACACCAAATAGTTTATCATTACAAAATCTATTTCAACCCAATCACATTGCTTGTGAATGTTTTTTCCTCCGTCCCATTTCTGTTTTCAAACATTACTATTATTGACATATCTACCTTTATTTTATAGGTTTGTTTTTTATTGGTTGGTTTGACATGAATTACAAAAAAATGAAATTACAGAAAAATCATCAGTTTTCAACAGTAAATGTGCTGGGATTGACTATGGTATCTTTATTTTATAGCCTAATTAACATGTACAAAGAGCTGCAAAACGATATAGAAGGATTTGAACGGCCGGCGCATGGCAACTTGACTGGATGGGCAAAACAAGGTATGGAAAACCAAACATTGAGTCATTATTGTAAAATATTCAACATTCACTGTTCCCTGTGGATTATCCCTAGTCTTGCATGAATTTTCCAGTGGCAGATCCAGAGATTCCCCGAGAGGTGTGAGGTCCCTTATAGAGGCCGCGCCAACCAAGGTTCAACTTTGTTTAGAGAACATTTTTTAATAGGCCTTAGCACCTCTAGACACCTGGAAATGGCACTCTCAGACTAATCATTTTGTTCAAAGCCGTGTTTTCCAAAAAAAGATTGGTGCCCCTGACTTGCCCGAAACTGTTCCGGAGCCAGAAAAGAAATAACTCAATCCTTTTTGTAAAATAACAGTACAGTACAGTACTTCAAAATATGCTTACGAACATAATTGAAATGAAGACAATGGATTAAGCTGATAAAATTTGCATAGTGCTCACATTGTATACTTAAATATGTTATTAGCTTTCATTGGGAAATTAGAACAAAATGTTCCAGTCCTACTTTCTGCTGGTGTAATCAATTTAAAGCACAGGTGGGCAAAGTGCGGGATGACTAATTTTTTTTTTGCGCCTCACAAAAATGAATTAAAAACCCTGGGTGCGGACTGCCAACCTTCTTCGGCTAGAAAACACCTTGTTTTTTACAGCCAGACATATATTATCTGTAAAATGTAATATTAAAACTGAGCGGTATAATAGCAGTGTATAAAGTTTTTTTGGCAGCACACTGGAAACATCAAAGTTTGGGTGTGGCCCTGTGTGTTAAAACAAAAATTCACTTTGGCCCTCTGACCCATTTTTATGTCATCCCTGATTTAAAGGATATTAGTAGTAAATTATTGGTAAATCAAGGAAAATTAGTTTGATCCGTGTCCAATTGGAAATTGATTATATATTCAATATTTTCTACATTTACCACGGAAAGTTATATGTTGAGGAATGAATTAAAAATAGTTTGATTTGTATCATTTTTTTTTCCAGGTGTGCTTTTACTTAATGCCGTTCTCACTGTCCGTGCCCACACGCCCAATTCCCATAAGGATAAAGGGTGGGAGACGTTTACAGATGCGGTTATTAGTTGGATCAACAACAACTTAGACGACGTGGTGTTCATGCTCTGGGGCGCCTATGCCCAGAAGAAGGGCAAGGTGATAAATAAGGTATGCAAATCATTTTAAGATGCTACAATCACCAGTTACATGACTTTGTAATTCTCCATATAGTGTCGTCATTAGGTTTAGTGTAGTGGAGCTGTTACACCATTTGCCTAGCTTTGGAAACTAGGCAAAAGGTGGAATTACTGCAAAGCAGTTATACACTAAATGCATTAAAACATATGGCACTTCGGAATTCCGGGCTGATCTCACCAGCTGGTCTGATAGGATACATCCACCATACAGTCATACCTCTTTTATGGGCTTAACAGACCTTAAAGGATGATGATGTGATGATGATGCTGCTCAATATCCTAATCAGCTTGGTTGTGCATCACTGCATTTAACATGGGACTAAAGGTTGGTTTGTATGCATCCTTTCACACAGACAAAATGTTTTGGGTCGGAACTACCAATTTCCTAGGTCAGACCTAACAATGTTGGTCTATGTGAAAGGGGCTTTAAGAAAGCACTCAATGATAAGATCATTTTACTACTAAGCATCCCCTGTGCTTCATTCAGAATACCTAATATGAAAATTGATCTTAAATTTTATTCCAACAGAAACGACACAAGGTGTTGACAAGTGTGCATCCATCACCTTTATCTGCTCATCGAGGGTTCTTCGGGTGTAAACACTTCTCCCAGGCTAACAAACACCTTGAGAAAGTAAACCGGACCCCTATTGACTGGAAGCAATTGTAAGATTATGTATAGCACCACCTACTGTTTACAAACAACAGTTAATCACTATGCAAAACAAAACCACCTCAACGCTACTGTATATGTCAGTTTATCAGATTTTGTCTTTTGATTTGAGAAAAAACAAACCCACCAAAATATTCAAAACAAATGCTGTCTGTCTGGTTGTTTATAGCTAAGTATATTTTAGTCATGTAAAAAGTGTAAAAAAAGAACTTTTGAAAATGCAGTTTGGAATAAAAAATATCTAAATTACTTGTTTCTGTGTTAGTAGTGAATTAATATTTGTTGAAATACATCATCATGATATTTATACCATTGGCAACGCCAGTGGGGCCCCAGTCAGACAAAACAATTAATTTTTTTTTCTGTGTTAGCAGATCATTATGAAGTTTATACCAGTCGCAATATTAGTGATTGACAATCCCTGATATTGTGTTTTAAAAGCACAATAGACACATTCTGCTAGGTTAATCACGTGACGTATAGTGGGTATCAATTGCAACGCTTTGTAATAGGAAAACGTGTGGCGTCTTGGAAGTATTTGTGCTGTAAAGCGCATACAGTATTTGAAGTTGAATAATGTTGGTTGGTTGGAAATTGAAAGTTTGCTATAATGCTCCAAAAGATACTGGCCCCAAACATTTTTCGAGAAATGCTAGGCCTAGGCCCCTGCATGTCTACAGTTAGGTATGCACGAGTCTTCGATCTGCGAACTGCAATTTTGACACGATTTCTAGACTAGCTTATTTTTACAAAGGATCACATAAATTTTAAAGCATACAAAGCACATTCAACGCTAGAATAAGTAAATCAACACTATTTTAAACAATCGTAGTGCCTTTCCTTGCCAGTTATTTCTCGCGTTAATGATGGGCGAATGTTTTCGAAACCATATTGCTCTTTCCTATACACACTGATCGCATTGTAAATTCTTCATTGTAATACCCACTATGTGTCACGTGACCGGCTGTAAACAAAACTCGCAGAATGTGTCTATTTTGTGCCATCCTAATTCATGAAATCTCCCCATAAACCACAGCAGGAGTTCGTCACATGTTGGCTCGTCTCCTTCACTTCTGTATTTTTGTGAAGTTTATTAAATTAAAAAATTAAAAATAAATAAAATTCATTCGTGGACCCTGACTGAGCTTCTAGGTGGGCACTTGCTTCAGATACATTTATGGACCCCGTTGGCAAATTTCTGGACCTACCAATAGTATATAAGTACAGTTCACAAACACTTTCTTACAGCAGTAATATTCCATAATTTGTTTTAATTCAGCATAAAATAATCCCTAAACTCCATTACATGGTAATACCATTCCAAACACATTGAAAAAACAGCAACAACCTAGGTTTAATAACGTAGATTAAATATAATATTTTAACCATACCTTTAGAGACATTCACACCAATGAAACATTTCAATACAGTACATTGGAAGTAGAAATACCTTACTGTTATAGCACTTTACAAATTTGAAAGTTATAAATTAGGTGAAATCTTGTTAGCAGATTTTTAATAGTCACTGAGATGAACTGGTGATGCAGCAGATAATTTCTATCTACTTGAAAATTGGAAAGTAACTAACAATATTCAAATATGTCTATTCTGGTTTAATATGCCTTACATTCATCGAATATTTGCAACTGCAGAGGGCAGCATATATTTACCATCAAAGTGACACAAAGTTCGTTCACAGAACTAACATATATGGTATAGTATTGTTTTTCACAAATTTTGGGTTGATCGTTTTTAAGTGATAATCAATCATTGAAAAAATATGATTTTACTCTAGAGGGCTAGTTTATAGAAATTTGAATTAAAATATGTATTTGGGAATCACTGTAATTTAAAAAAATATTGAGCTTAAACTGTTTGAAACTTTTCAGATAGTCAACAATTTGGACAGTAGACAGCACAAGCAATTGTACAACCAGTGGGGTGTTTCTAACATCTTGGTATATAGGTTTTTGGGATATCTACCAAAGTACATACTTTTATTTAAATAAACATAGCCTGCTACAAACAGGATTTATAATAATTTTTTAATCTGTTGATTATTTTCTCGTAAATGAGATCACAAATGCAAACCAGCAACTCCTGATGCAGTTGCAAATGTAGACAGTAAAGATGCTGATTGGTTAGTTTCAAGTAATAGCCTTGCTTCTTTCAACCAATCAGATGCTACTATTTTTGGCATACCAGACAACTGGTTAACAAACTTGACAGCTTGCTCTAAATCACCCTCTTCTATATAATGAGTGGCAAAATCTAATAATTTAAAAGTATCAAGAGAATCGGGAGAGACGTCTTCGTCGAGCTCTGGGGCATGCCGTGTACCAATAACTAGAAATGACTGTATGTAAGATAATACGTATTTGTAGAAGCTAGCACCTGTTTCATCAATCATCGACATTCGACTACAGACTTTACGAACATGCTTCCACCTCTGTCGTAGGGCATCTTCCGTCATCACACCTCGGGCCAGGGCTTCTTCCGGGAGAGTGTGGATGACAGCTGCAACAAATGGATGTTCATCACCAGCTTCTTTTACAGCAATTACTTCATTCGCTAGTGGCTTCAATTTATCTTCATAACTTTTGCCATCTGGTCTTCCTAAAACCCCAAGGAGAAAGTTCAAAGTAGGTTATATATTTTGTATACAACCACATTAATGTAAATATTTATTGTTACCCTTTTACAGTACTTGCTTTGGTTATGATTGCCTTTTTCAATCTGCTATTTTTTTTCATTTTAAGCTCAGGGCCAATGATATGACAATAGTCACTATAGCAAGTGGCAATCCTTTCACAAGACAAATATACAAACAGGATACTCTACATAAACTAAGCTACCATAATATTATTCAACAAATACAGTAATATATCAAAAGATATATACATATCAAGATGTGTTTTGTTTTGTTTTTTTGAGTTTTTTTTTTTTTTTGAACTGTCAAATAGCATCGTCATCCTTTAATTTTCCAGAAATATTTCAGTAGGGGTGACTCTTTAAAATATGTTGTATACTAATACTTGCGGTACACCACATGGATAGTTCTGAAAAGAACTGTTGTTTTTTGTGAATGTCTCTAAAATATGTAAAATAAGTAAATAGTAATTTATCTGTAATATGACACACATAGTACAAGAATTATTTTCTTACCAATTTCAATAGTTCTCTTGAGTGTCTCACATGCTAACCACAATTCCTGTGCTTTCTTGTTTTGTTTTTCAAGGTCTGCCCGTCCTGCAGTAAACAAACATAAACAGATGCATTTGAAGAAAAACACAGACTACAATAAACAATGTAAGACAACAAGCCATTAAAAAGATGAACATACATACAGTAGAAGAAATTAATATAGATAAGAAAAAATAAGAAAATTAATATAGATAAGAAACAATAAGGAAGATCAACCATATTAAGAGAATCAAATTATATGTAAAAACAAAAACCAATTATTATTAAGTAATAAGTAGTTTCTAAGATATTTCTTAAATTACATTTAAAGAAGCAAGACAAATGGAATTGCATTCAATAAATTGGTCAGTTTCAAGAAAAACTATAAGTAAATGCTTTAGTTCTGGGTCATGAGTAAATGCTCTGGTAGAAAACTTAACATGGGCTGCAGTTCCCTCATAGTTAGTTTAGGAACTAGTCTGAGCTTTGCCAGCCTAACCACCCTAAAAGTAAGACAGTGCAATTGTGCCATATCTGCATATTTTGGAATAGCCCCAAAGCTGGTTCATCAGACCCTTGAATTGAATATCAGTCATCAGAATACCAGGAGACCCTATTAACTTATAAGAATGATCTACCTATTATTACAAACCGTGACAAAGGACCAACAAAGACATATCGTACCACTACAGGCAACACAATACAAAATAGCATAAACCAAAATATATATACAGTCGGTTTAGATTAATCATACCATAACAATACCAAATTAACCAAAAGCTAGCCTAACATTTAGCTCATTCCATAGGACCAAACTTGTAATAACAACCTAAAAGAATAAACTTAAAAAAAAAGAAAAAAGAGCCACAGTTGTACAGGTAAACTCTTTTTTACAACAGGTCAGGCAGGGTTATTTTTTTTTCAACAAGGGGCAGCATACATGAACCACATACTGCCTCACCTATGCCTAGGGTATCAAGAGCATTGCATACAACTGAAAGAAGAATAAATATTTAAAGGCAAGTAAATGCAACTGAGACAGGGAACATGAACATTATGCCTTCCTCTACTGCCTTGTCATTTGGAACTTAGGCTTCAACTAAAAGGAGGGGGAATAATGCTTTGTTTAACCTAATTATACATAAAGATTTTAGAGGGGGATTATCCTATGTAGCTTAATTGTAGGAGGGAGGAGGTGAGGGGTGTGGAGAGAACTACAGGTCTGTTTAGCTGATTGGTATGCCTATGTTTACCACAAATAAAATATATACTACTATTATTAATGATATATCTTCAATTTACCTTCAATAGCTTTCTCTACACCCCGGAGCTTTGCCATTGCAACGTGCAGCTCTGTTTGGTATTTCTCTTGTTCATCCGCTCTAATCTCAACATCCTGAATCTTTATCTTCTCCTCGTACTGTCGTTCTTGAACTTTCAATACTTCTGATATGTGATCACTGTGCGCCGCCGCTTGTCGCTTCAACTGCGTTCGCATTTCTTGCTCATAATCAGAATCAAGTTCTTGTAACTAGAAGAAAAAGGTCTAGTTATATTTGATCATGTATTTTTTTAGAAATTATTTTTTAAAAATTCACAATTTTATCCTGTAATTGGCAAGTTAACTTGGATATGGAAGAAATTTAGAAAAAAAATCTGGTACATAAATTCACCTTCTTGTGAAGTTCAATTTCCAATTCCTTTCTCTGCCTCTCTAACTCCGCTGCCACAAACTCTTTTGTCTTTTCTTCATCTTCCTGCTGTTTCTTTAACAGAGCATCTTTGAGTCTCAATTGTTCCAGGACTTGTTGCTCTACCAGCTGCTTCTGCAGTTGCTCAATTCGTCGGTGAGCATGTGCAATAAGCGAATTTAATTCTGATTCTGACATTTTCTCACCTGTAATATAATGAACAATAAGTATTTACAAACATATTATGCAATCATGACATCATCATTTTACACTCCATGTATTTTTTTCCTCTCGAATACTTAATTAAATTAAAATTCAGGAAGTTTTGCGGATCAGGTTCAAAAAGCTTACACAAACCTCTTTACATCATGACATCATAAGGAATAGGGCTACAGCCTAACTGCAAGAAGCATTCACCGGTCATGGCAGACCTAAGAGTATATGAATTTTGAAGAAACTAATGGCTCCTAAACACTACATTTCGCATGTTTTATGGCAGTGGAAAATAAGATAGTGTAATACATACTCCGAGTATCGAAATGCACACCATCGTGTCGGGATTCAATATTTTGCAATTATGTCACCATCAGGAATGATGATGGAAATATCGTCTAAAATCTAGTCTAAAAATCCATGGGGTAGGTATCTGGTCTAAAATCCATTGGGTAAGTATCAAATTAATTTATCAAAATATAAAAATGTTGTTTTAAATACACCATACTATATTAATATCTTCCTCAGTTAAAAAATAGTTAAAACTGAATATAAATTTTCAAGACTTTCTCAATTTAGTACACAACATTTCTTTCACAGGCTTAAATATACTGTACTAATATTATCATTATTCTTGCTTGTTCAAAATTACAATGTGTACCTTTTTCACCTAGTTTGACCTCTGGCATAATGCTTTCCAATTCTTTCTTGAACTCTGTCTTGCCCTTCTCCACAAGGTCTCTGTACTCCTGGTAAATCTGACCTTCTTTCTCTAAAGATGATGTCTGTAAAATGAGTGAAAAAATATACATTATTAGAGATTCAAATATATATATATATATATATATATATATATATAAATTTAAAGGCAAATGGGATAAACCCATAAAAACAACGAGCAGCCACATAAATGCAAATAATGATAATATAAAGTTTAAACGGAACAGTAGAGAAAATCCGATCAAGAATGACAGAACAAACTAAATATCCACTGGAAAAAATCCCAATATCTGCAGACGGATCCGTTTCGGCCTTCTAGGCCTCATCAGTGCAGCTAGGGTAAAGATGAAGACCAAACGTTATGACCAGCTTGAGCAGGGCCTAGGCTAGCCCGACGTTCAACTGCAGCATCGCTAATGAACCGTCAATGCCAAACCAAGACAGTATATAGATACGGCCCAGGTGTGGATGCAAATATTGGAACAAGAGCTATGCGCCTACTTGATTATGGAATGTTATGGGGCGGAAGACTGTTCCAGTAAACACAGTATATTTTGTCATTCTTAACGCGTCCTCTACGAGACTCTACCAGACAGCACTAGTCGGTGGTCTCATGGACTAATCCGAGATCTAAAGATACAATCTCTACTGTGCATCAATGGCGGCCCGCTGGATCTCAAAAGAGAGATTCAATAAAAATATATAAATTTAAAGGCAAATGGGATAAACCCATAAAAACAACGAGCAGCCACATAAATGCAAATAATGATAATATAAAGTTTAAACGGAACAGTAGAGAAAATCCGATCAAGAATGACAGAACAAAATATATATATATTCTCATGTATTTTATTAGAAACATTTTTACCAATTAAAATCATTTTTGAATTCTTAAGCATTTGGATACCTCAGCTATTGCTTTGTCCAATTCGTAATTCATTTTCATAAGGTCTTCTTCGGCTTTGATAACTTTTTCTCCAAATCCAAACTGACTCTTTGTCTTCTTACTTTCAGCAATAACACTTCTTAGCTTCTCAAGTTCCTCTCTGGAAATATAAGAGAATTAAATTCATGATTCATATAAAACATTTTTATTAAACAAGTTAAACAAAGTATAAGTATATTTTCCAGTTGCAGATTAGAATAACAATAACACCGTTAAAACCATTAGTGCTCTACCATGTCAATTATTATGACATACACAAGGCAGGTGTTCCACAGAGTAGTTTAACTAAGGCAAAGCACATATCGGCCACACCCCAACAAAAATCCCCACCATCCCCCTAACCATTTTAGCCAAAAAATTACAAGTAAGTAGTTAAAAATCACCTTATAGCCCTTAATTATCCAGGCCAGAAGCTCCAATGAGGGCAGTATAATAGAGGCAGTAGAGCTCAAAAAGATCTATTAATAGTCAATCAACTATTAATCAATCAGCCTCATGAGGCCAGTATAATACAGTTAAACTTGCCTAAGTCAACTATGCCTGTCAAATGATTTCTAAGTCGATTCTATTTTACATGCCAAACTGTTGTGTTTTCCATTAATTAACAATCTGCAAGTTGAACAATAATTATTTCAATTGCATTTTGGATTCGACTTAGGCAAGTTCAACTGTAGAGGACAGTAGACCTAAAAAAACTTATGTAGACAGAAAACTTTAGTGTTTAGTGTTAGTGTTATATTAGATGAAAAATGCCCAGAAAACAGCCGGGTTTGAAAACAGAAATGAATATTTAAAATCAAACCTTGCAAGATTTGTTGTTTCTGTGGCAGACTTGACAGCCTCTACCTTCAGATCTGCCGCTGTCACTACGTCCTTCCATTGGCCTTGCCTGTCTTCCATCATCCCATCTTCCATAGCAGACTTGATCATATCTGTGTGCTCCTTGGTAATTTCCCCCAGAAGTTTTTGGCTCTCCACTGCCGCATTTGTTACAGTCAGTGCAGCATTCATTGCCTCACCAACTATTACTTCATAAGCTGTAATGAAATAAAAAAAAACTCATAATGCAAAATAACATAATAGCACCATGGATAACCCACTGCAGTCTGAAGAAAACTTATTTCCAGTGGGGTACTTCTGGTGGTTATTGGGCAGTACACCAAAAGAAAATTCCCTACTCCTTTCCGAAGAGTATACTATGTTCTTTAACGTGTACATGGGCTATAATGCAGACAGAATCAATGGCTTAAATCGTCTGGAAGGCCGTGCCCTATCGTAACTTGCATTTCAGCCCTCCAGTTGAAACACAAGGAGAGAGCGAGGGGAACTGGACTGTTAAGAACCTTGAGATCTTCAAGTTTCAGCGCACACACAGTGGCTACCACCAGTTTAGCTGACTGAGCTAAATTATGTTGAATGCCAGTCAAGAAAATATTTATAAAGTCATGTTTTGATAAAAAATGGGGCCTCTGGGTTTTTGATAAGTTTAATATTTACATTTCAACTAACTGCCATTTAATTTATGCAAAAATATTTGAATGGTATTATACTTCCAGAATGACAAATAATAACTCTCTGACTTGCTTACCTGCTGCATCCGCAGCTTCTTCTATCTCTTGATCAATTATTTTTTCTTGCAACTCTTTTGCCTTCCTGTCAGCTTCATCCTTTTTCCTGACTTCCTCCATTCTAGCCTCATTCTCTGCCTTCCTTCTAGCCTCGCGGTCACTGGTCTCTGCTGCTGATTCTCCAGCACTTTTCAAGGCAGGTGGAGGACTTCCCTTTGGTATGACTGGTTCTGGAATCGGTTCTGGTTTTCTCATCAAACTCTCTTCACGGTATTTTTCTTTATCGATGTTAATCAGTGGGCCTGATTTAAATGACCTACAAAGGTAAATGCAAATAATCTGATCTTTTACAAGGAGTCTGATACATTTATTTTATATTTCAAATGTATACTTTTGTGGTGAACTAATAAACAGTACAATTCAACACTGTATACTTAAATCATTAGGTCCAATGGTAGATCCAAAACATTTTGCAGGCGATGCAAGAGAAAATCAAGGATCTATAGTTTAAGAATAGCAGGACATAATTGGTCCAAAAAAATGATTTGGGATGTTTCCTTTATACTGTATGTCTGGATGTTTAGTGAATTTTTGGCTACTGGTGTTTTGATTTTGTGTTACTTGTTATTTAATATATATATAGCGCCTATTCCTTTCTAATAGGTTACAAAGCGCTTTGTTTTCCCTGGTCATTGAGTCCAGATGCTAAAGTGTTGCTACCATATTGGCGCAGTAGCAGGCAACTCCACCAGGTACCACTTAGACTATTGGGGGGAGAGAAGAAATATGGATAAAGTCCCTTGCTCAAGGACACAAGCGAAATGCAGAGCAAGGTACTGAAACCCTGACCGCAAGGTTGGGAAACCAAACCGTTCGTGCTGCACTAAATCGCTTCCGAAGTTGGTAACTTATTTGATTCTTAAGCTCTGTCTACCCTTTCTTCGACAAAACCTTGTTGTATGCCCATATATAACCATGATGTGCCCATATATAGTCATGATGTGCCTATATATGGGTCATGATGTGATGCCATCATGACCATATTTAGGCATTTCACATGTTTTTGTCAAATAAAATTTGATAGTCTGGATAGAGCTTCATAAGAAACTATCAATATTTAATTGAATTCCTTTGGGGTTTTTTTTCTAGATTTCAACACAGACAGTACAGATCTGTATATCTTTAAACCATTACGATTCATTGGCTTATCATTAAGAACCTACAGTATGTATACATTAAGTTTCTTCTTCAGTTTTGTTTAAGTTGCCTTGCCTTCTTTAAGTGAATAGAATAAAGTTGCAGAATGTTAGTGGACTTACACATCAGCGTTTTGCTTGCCCTCATTCAGGTCATACATGAACGTATCAAAAAGTGGGTTTAAAAATGGCCAGTTGCTCTCAACTTGTCTTCTAAATTCCGGATTGCTTTTTGCATACAAGATGGTACCAGTCACAGCGCCACCACCGACCAATACAGCGCCACCAATTATTTTTAACAATGTTTGGCTGCCAGACCTACAAGTAGAGACGAAAATCATACATTTAAATAATGAAGAAAAGAAATTGTAATTGTAAAAATGACAATTATTTGAATGTTGGTGTCCTGTGTTCTGTTCATTTTTGGCAAGATAATCTAGAAACTAGGCTGGGATGGGACAGATGATAATAAAAATGATACAGCTCACTTACTTTTTTGGAGGCAAGGGGGCTTCTGGGTTGGTACAAAACCAACACTTCTTCAACCTCACAGCATTGCCATTGCTCTTGGTAACCTTGCTGGCCCCCTAAATTGACCACATAGTAATTGTTAAAAAGACATTGAGATAAAATATGGGGAATTAAAACATTACCACTACATGTTAGGGCAAGATGAGTCATTCATGGTGCATATGAATAGATGGCTGGAAAATACAAATTCTTATGTTAAATTTACAGGAAATCTTTACCTCATCTTCCAATTTAGCTTTAAAAAAAAGGTACGTACATTTTAATTATATTTTATTCACTTTTTCTAATAGGAATTTCCTTCCTTTCCATTTCCCAATCCTAGCAATCAGTGTCAGTGACACCCTTCTTGATTCACAATTTAAATTGATCCATCCATTTGCAAGAGCGTGTGGCCCAGCGTGTAGGTAAGGTGTTGGACTTCTGACTGTGAGATCGGGAGTTCAAGACCGACGCTTGTCGCATTGCTCGTGTCCTTGGGCAAGGCACTTTAATTACGTTTGCCTCTCTCCACCGGGGAGTATAAATGGGTACCTGGTAGGATGGTATGGCATTGAATGTGTCGTGCGCATTCAAGCAGCAATGACCAGGGATACTCCCCAGGGAGCATAGAAAGTTGCACAATGTGCGGATCTGCCAATTCAGTATCCAGTGACCAGGGAAATATGGTGCCAGCGCCTTGTATAATCGCCTGCCGATTGCGAAAGGCGCTATATAAATTACGATTCTATAAAAAAAAAAAAAAAATCCATTTTTCTCCAAATATTATAGAATAAAAACAACTAAATTTGTTTTGAAATGTGCAAGTTCTTCAGAAAGTCCATCAGGCATACTGTAACGACCCACTTTAACATGTTGTTGTAGGCTAGGCCTAGGTCAGACTGTAAAGTAAGGTCTGCACAAGCAAGGAATAGGCCTATATCAGCAAAATTTAGGCCTAGAAATCCATCCATGCATTTAAAAAAAATAAGGGATGATTTTCACAATTTTGTTGAAAAGGTAAGGTGTACTGTTATGCAGCAGGTCCTAGCATAAGTAGTTATGAGTCTGCGCACCTTATTTTCCCGACAATTTTCAGCGCAAAATTTAAGCTAGTTTTTGAGGTATTATCTGCAAAATTAATTTATTTATTATACTTTTTGCAGTATGGTCTGGCTGGCTAGGTCATAGCCTACACACCTACCATACCCTAGGACTACAAGTCCTAATAGAATACTACTAACCGTGCCTACCTAGTACAGTAAACCCGCCCCCTCTCTCTGGGCCCTAGGTAGAGTATAGGACTGCGAGGCTTCCCTAATAATAGGCTAGCTAGGGCCTAGCCCTGGCCCTAGCCTAGCCCTTGGACCGCCTCCTACAACAAGCTTAGTCTAGCGTAGTGTATAGTATACACAGGCACCGGTGAATGTATGCTAGTACAATACAAATCGATTAATTCTGTGTCTTAGAACCTATCTATATGTATACATAATGGTATATAAAGCAAATAAATATACAAAATAAACAAATTACCCGAATATTACTCGGTATTTTTCCCGAGGTACGCCACATTTTTTCCAGCAAGAAAGTTCAGAAAGACGCCACCAACGGTCTAATAGCCAAATTGTGTGTACACACACAAATTTATTTTATTTTTTATTTTATTTTTTATTTTTTGCAAAAATTTGTCCAAAAATCGTAAAGACAGATGAGTCAACCACATCAAAAAATGACAAATGAATATAATGATTTCATTAGGGTCCTCAATTTTTTTTTCTAGGCCTATAAGTATAAAATCATAACTAAAATTCAACAACTGATACTGTAGTTTATTTAAGTTATGAGTTAAGCTTGCAATGAGGAGTAATACTTTTTTATATATATATTTAAATGTTAAGCGCATCGAAGCTTCTATATTTTTTCGCTATATAAGTCTAACATTATTATTTTTATTATAGCACGAAAAATATAATTTATCCTCATTTAATTGATTTTTTTTAAATTTGACGTTTTTGGTTCAAAGTATTGTAATGTCGAGGTAACAAACAATTTAACAAACAAAAATATATTATATGACTTGCCATGTTTATTTCTTAAATTAGTATGCACTTAGTAGGTTAGTGTGTGAATCGTAAGTATGATGGATGATGTGTGTATATTAGTCAGATATTCAGGACGTGTTGGTTGAAAGGGAAACGGTGCAAATAAAATTTCTAACGCGATTTTCGATACCGTTTAAGCATACCAAGTTTAATGAGTTTGATCATAATGAGTACGTATTTTTCAGACTTCTTCACTTTTATATGCCGTCGCAAAAACTGTGATAACGGAGTTTTTTACACAAGAAAGTATTAATTAGGGCCTACCTATCTAATCTGCGACTGGTCACGTCACTCCTCCCAACAACCATGTTTTAGTTCAAAGAAGAGTAACGGTTTAGTTTTATAGGGCACCTCTTTTTTTTTAAATTCCCACTTTCAAAATATCAATATTCGCAAATCCAACTATTTATTATTATTATTATTATTATTATTATTATTATTATTATTATTATTATTATTATTATTATTATTATTATTGTTATTATTATTATTATTTTTATTATTATTATTTATCATCACCATTATTATTATCATCATTATCATTAAAATTTTAATAATAATAGGCCTAATTATTATTATTTTACTATTTTTTGCTAATATTAATTCACACTAACATCATTTTGAGAAGAATTAGTGAGTGAACAAAGTATAACTTCTACTTCAAGGCTTACTCGTCAAAGACTGTTCAGCACCTGGACCAGCCCTTACATACTTGATTGAACGAACATGAAAATTTCAATTAGGCCTATAACCCATAATTGTTATCGGGATTATTATCAAAATATTGTATTTATATTTATTAAAAGGTGCGTTTGATATGCATGGATTGTAATGGCTAATTAATGTCGGTTAATCAACAGGAAACATGTAACTAGCTTTTTAGAAGTCAAACTAGTTATTACAACTAAAACTATTTAATAAATTAATAATAATAACAGGTCTAAAATTAATGATAGAATTATAATTATTGCTTGATCGACACAGATATGAACCGCCACTGATACCACATCTGGGTCATGGTCGATGATGATGATGATGATGATGATGCTAGCCGAGCCAACCCGAACTAACCCGAGGGAATTCCCGTAGAAAAAAGAAAGTCTCGCGAACAGTCGCAATTCAGTACGCAGAGAGTGTGTGATTATTGGATCCCGGCGTCTGTTGAAACTGATATTAAAAGTAATATTTGATTAATTGACAGTTCCTGTACCATATGTTTAATCCCACAGTATTATAAAAGACATGGCATTTTTAAAGATGTTATAAAACAACTGTGATCTTCAGAGAGGCTAGGCCCAGACTAGTCGAGTAGGACGACGTGTCTGACGAGGAGGCACAGGCAATTTGGACCAACGAGTGACGGCAGAGGTAGGACCAAGGCCAAGGCCTAGACCTAAATGAGAGGCTGGTGTCGGGGAGGGGGGTTAAATGTTAACTTCTATTAATTCAGCATATTTTGATATAAAGTAGGCCTATGTGGTTTTGTGTGGATAGATTCCAGAGTTTCTTTGCTCAATGGGTTGATGGAGTAGGACAGCGAGAAAAAAAATAGGTACATACAGGGTACTGTTAAAATGTTATTAATTAAAGACATTAATTTTTTTCAGATGAACTTGTGCGCGTGACCATGGTACATTTTAATGCCGTCTAGCCTGCTTAGCCTAAAATTCAGTAAGATGGCAGTGTCAAGATTACTGGGACTGGCCTATGGTTCAATGGCTCTATTTCTTTCCATTTTGCATAACGTTTTTCTGTTGTACTATGTTGACATATTCGTGTCGGTTTACAAGATTGATAAACAGTCCTTCTGGATTGGAGAGGCAAGTAACATACGATTTAGAAAAATTGTGGTAAATTGATGCATTGACAAAACTAAAATAAACAAAATATACTGTAATAAAACAAATATTGGACTTTTCAGTGTTTTTTTCTTATTAAAGCAGTATAATGTATTTTTTGTGGTCATTGCATGGAAGTGCCTTAAATTTAGCCTATATTACTTTATAATATTAAACTAATCATTGAGAAATCCTAGTCCCTAACAGGGGGTCAGGGTTTCCTGAAAAGTGTCTTGACACTGACAGGAGTCCACACCCACCTCAGCCCTGCCACGGTTGGATTATAAATGTTTTTCAAAGCATTGTTCCTGATGAAATGATTACCGTAACTTCTTTACCGACTGCTTGTCCAAAGTTCCTAGAGGGGGTCCTGTGCCACATTGTACTTCCTGCTGCTGCTGCTATTGCAGACACAAACCTTTGGAATCAAGAGTACCCACTTGTTCTCCAAGACGTTCAAACCATCCTGGGCTGATATGTCTTGGAACTACTCCATTAAATCATGAAGTGTACATTCCATACACTGTGGCTTCATGGTTCAAGTAATTTAATTTAATATATGATTTGTACCTTAACTTTCTTTTTTTTTTTCCCATTACAGACCATATTTTTACTATGGAATTCATTTAATGATCCACTGTTTGGGTGGATGAGTGACAAGAAGTTTCTGTCCCCTAACAGGTATGTGTTATTAATAATATTTTACCTTTAAATTTTGCGAGTTAAATGGCTGAGCAGTTAAGGCAGCTGGCCGTAACATACAGTTGTAATATCGATGCTCACCTACGGTTCTGGAGGTGGAACAAGTCTTCTCAGAGAAAGACTATAAACCGTAGACCCAGTGTATATACTGTAATTTGACTCGTGTGCACTTTACATCTTTCGAGACGATTAGGAGGTTATCCTGATGTACTGGTCCATACAGCCGCGGTTGTGGACAGACAAGAGTAGCTGGTAATGGTTTACCATAGAGGTATTATAGTAATATAAAACACGCATCTTGGAAAATCAATGTGTGATCATATTTCAAAAAAGTTTTGACTTGGCAATACCAAACACCTTTCTTAGGTCAAGATGCCGTGTACAGTATGAGCGTCTAGTGGCCTATCATTCTTAAAAATGTTCTTATTGGGGAGGGGGGGACACATTACTATAATACCTCCATGGGTTTACCAGCTAGCTCAGACACTAAGGGACCCTTAGAGGAGGAGAAAGTTACTGTACATACTAGTTAACACCTCGAGCACTTTGATACTTTGGTAGAAAGCGCTATATAAATCCAACTACATTACATTTTAATACTTATATGGGTGGTTACTGAATATTTAACTTAAAGCTCGGCAGCCCTGTCTACAGTTGTTTAAGCCAACGACATGGGTAATACTGTGAAATGCATTAGTCTTGAAGTTATTTGTATATACTAAGACCAACATGTTCCTGTTTTATGATTATGTTGTACAAGTCATAAGTCAGTTCATTTTCTCCACTGTTTTTCTTTCCATCATTAGTTGTAAAGATATTACAACCACAGAGGTCATCAAGCAACGTTTGAGGGCGCTCTCAGTGCATGGTCCATTATTCACGCTGTCGTTTATGAGCTTCTGGTTCTTGTGGACCTATCCAGGACTCCAGTTTACAGTTTGTTTGTGTGTATATGATGGTCTTCTGACTATGGTCGACCTCCACCACAGTGCTTTACTTGCTGATCTTGCTTTAAGTGCCAAAGATAGGTATGAGACAACTACTACTATCACTTACCATAGTTTCTCGGGTATAAGCCCAACCCTCTACTTTACACACATTTCTACGTAACAGCCTCTTCAGGCAAAAACCTGAGGAATATTGGCTTTTAATTAGGCATACAGTGCTGAAAAAAGATCCATTTGATTGAAAAGGGGATCCTTGGGTATAAGAGCACCCCCAAAAATTGGCCCAATTTTGTGTTCAATAGGGTGGGCTTACACTAGAGGAACTACCATTTTAACGTTATCTAATTGATTTGTTATAGCTTATATTTATTTAGTGCTTTTCACATTTCAAGAAAGTACAGTATGTGTTGCCCATTTAACATGTAATCACAGAGTCAGATTTTTGTTTGCTGCAAAATAAAAATATATTTTTTTTACAAAAAAAACCCAGAATATTTGTATCTTCCAATTATTTACATACATTATGTACCCTTCCATCCCAACAGCTTTTGTAAATTTTTTATAAAATCTGTAATTCAGAGGGTTTAAATTTTCGTATTCTAACACCATCTCAATTTCATGGTAGAGATCTAGGGTCTCAGCAGGGCTACTTTCCACATAATCATGATCATACATGATCATTGCAAGTAAAAACAAGCATTCTCTTATCAATCATAAACATGTTTGTCTTCCTGCAGAACAAAATTGAACTTTTATAGCTCCGTATTTGGCGCTCTTGGTGCTCTTTCCGTGTTTTTCTCCTACGCCGTCTGGGACAAAGGTGACCTGGATAACTTCCGGATGTTTTGTGTAATGCTGACTGTTTTTTCCTTTTGCGGATTTTTTTTCTCGTCAAGATTCCTGTTGAAAATATTTAGTGAAATACATAAGAAAGATGATCATTTCCAAAGGTTAGTATTGTCTTCCCGTATATGGAAGAAAGTTCCATACAATTTACATATTAATGTATTATTCTTGATCATTATAATTGAAGAGGAGAAAAAGCAAACTTACTTCCTTCAGTTCTCGTATGCAGTATAAAAATAAGGTCCTGTAGGGTTTTGATGAATAGAAGGTCCAACCTATTTAGGTATGTTGATTATGTCTCAAATAACACAAAAAAAGCATGTTGGCAACTTTGGAATGGCGGAAGTTGTCTGCCATCTTGAAAATGGCCACTATTTTGAAATTTAGTGTCCTTATCTTGACAACCGCATATCACAGAAACTTGATTTTGATCTCAAATTGTTTGTAATATATAAGTTTATATTCACTCTAATAAAAAAGTTTACAAGAAAATGACAGGAAATGGCATTTCTGACCTTTGACTTTATGATAATGAAATTTGTATATCGCCATAACTACTCAACATAGAGACTTGATTTTGGTCTCTATGTTGAACTGCACTTTATAACCTCAAGGAAGAGGTGTATTATAAATGCCCATTCCAGTACCAGTTGCTGTTGTAGTACCCATCTTCTTCCAAAGACACATGGCCGTCATTAATGGGGTCCGTTGACAAAATCACTGCTGGTGTTGACTTTTAGAGCCAAGATTTACCATTATCTTCACAAATGTTTTTCAGTTCTCTTAATTTTATATTATTATTATTATTATTGTTATTATTATTATTATTATTATTATTAGGCCACGGGAATGAAAGTTGTAGGTTTGCGTCCACCGCCCGCATGCCTAAAAAGCTACTGCACGAAAATTTTCATTATTTTGAAAAGTTCATTATTTTGAAAAAAAATATACTTCGTTTTAAAAAACGGACTTTCTGAGCCGTAAACAGACAGAAAAACGATCTATTCATCACTGATCACTGGTCGCGAACACCGAGCGAAGGCAGGCCTGGCCACATCGCACCATGATCGCCGATCACTGCTGAGGTCATTTACGGGTCAAATAGATCTTTCTGACCAATAGGAAATCTCGTATGTTTAAAGAGGTCTTAAATGTTGAAAAGGATCTGTTTTATAGGCTAGTGTACATTTATGACTGTAAGCATTGTTTCTTGGGAATAAATGTAAAATTACCAATGCCGCGGCTTTTGGACAGCATTTATTAAAAAAATAATGAATAATGAAAAATGAAAAAAATGCCTCATGTGTTTTCAAAATTTTTCGGACGCAAACCTACAACTTTCATTCTCGTGGCCTTACTAATTTATATTATTATTACAATATTATTATTTTTTAAGGAAATTAATGAAAAAAAAACTTTACATAACCCAGGGTGGGACCCCAACAGGTACTCACCCCTCGCATCAGTTATTTTACATTTGCACTTTTGTTTGTGAGAAATAATATAATGACAATCAACAGTAATATATTCTGTTTTGATATACGTATGTTAATGTTTTTTTTAATATTATTATTTGTAATTTTATCGGTTTTGTTGTTTTTATGTAAATTTTTTTGTCCAGTTTTTTCATGTCCAATAATTAATGAGTTTTTAATATGCCCTTATTATTCACTTATTTAAAAAATGTTTTTTTTTTTTTTTTTAATCATTTTGTGCTTCTTTTTAGCTTAGTTAATTAGGTTTCATGTACAGTACAGTAC